CCTGACCATCACCTGAGTCTCTTCTACCATTCTCCTGACGCTCATGTGATATCATCTGAGTCCCTTCCACCAATCTCCTGACGCTCATGTGACATCACGTGGTTTTTAGTCTATAAAAGCCAGCATCTGGCGCGGGAAAATTCAAATTGTTTCCTCTGTCATGGCGGACGACCTATTGTATCCCTTTAGTGACGAAGAGGAGGATGCTCTGTTGGACCGAGCGTTTGACCGGTGGGAACAGTTAGGAGGCGGCTCCGCCCGAGGCCCTCTCTTTCAATTCACCATGCAACCCATTGGCCGACGACGCCGCTGGCGCGAGGTGGTGGAGCGGGCGCAATTCAAAACGCAATTACGGCAATTGAGGGATCCTGTCCCTGGGGATAACATTGGCATGGCCTTGACCGAAGCGTTACACCAAGCCATTGAAACGGAACTGGACCGTAAGCAGCGACCCGCCCATCATTTTGTCAATTTTGCCACTACGGCCAATGGTTTCACCCACGCTTATCAAACAGCGAATTTTACGGTGGGGGAGTTTTTACAACGCACTGCTCGCTTGGATGAGATGTTAGCCACGTTGGCCGGCAAGTTGAATAGAAATGAAGCCTTCAACCCCGATCGCGGTTTCCAAGTGGATGTGGTGTTTGTATCCATGCCTGGCCGAGGGTCTGGTCGACATAAACAACGCAATGCGGGACGTCTATGCCTGGATCGAGACAACAAGAAAAAAAAATGCATCATCACCATCCGAAACAGAGATGCTCTATGCTGTGCCCGCGCTATCGTCACCATGCGAGCCCACTGCCATAAAGATCAAGGTATAGACGGGATTCGCGACTGGGACAATCTCAGACGTGGTCGTCCTGTGCAGCAACTTCAAGCCCAGGCCTTACATCAGCAAGCGGGAGTAGCTGAGGGTCCCTGTGGTTTACCCGAGCTTCGCCAATTTCAACAGGCGTTGGGGTCTCAATATCAATTGCTAGTGATGACCCGGATGAAACCGTTTTTTCTGATCTTCAAAGGACCCGCCGCCCCTCATCAGATCCGTTTACTCAAATCCAATGATCATTTTGATGGTTGCACGTCCTTTCGTGCTTTTGTGAACCGTTCCTATTATTGCCTGGACTGTGAACGGGGGTTCAACACCAACGACCGAACCAATCATACCTGTCAAGGTAGACGCTGCTCCGCGTGTGGTCGATTTGATTGTCAGGATTATGTGCGCGGTACCCGCCCCACGGATTATTGCAGTCTGTGTCACCGCCAGTTTTACGGTGGGTATTGCAAACGTTATCATGAAGTCACCAAGCAATGTCAATCGATCAAAACCTGTCTCAAGTGTCAGGCCGAGTACACGGTCGTCCCTAGCAGACGTCACCAGTGCGGGCACGCCAAATGCCCCGTGTGTCGAGAATGGGTGCCCATCCAGGACCACAAGTGTTACATTCAACCCGTGGCAGTGGAGGACGAGGAGCCAGAACCAACCGAGGAGGGGGGAGGTGGCATGGTGGCGCCACCCCATCCCTTGTTTGTTTATGCGGATTTTGAAGCCATGCAGAATGCGGAAGGGGTGTTTGTGGCCAATTTGTTGTGCTATTCGTCCAGCGAAGAAACCATTATTCATCTGTTGGACGGGGAGGACTGTGCCCTACAATTTTTGCGCGATTTAGATGATCTCACGGACCTCCCGGACACAGAGGGTGAACGGGAGATTCTCGTGGTGTTTCACAATTTGAAAGGCTTCGACGGCATGTTTCTTCTCCATGAACTGTACCAGCAACAACGCGAGGTGGTGGATCAACTGACCGTGGGCGCTAAAGTGTTGTCTTTCAAGAGCGGACCCGTCAAATTCATTGACTCGTTGTGTTTCTTGCCCATGCCACTCGCCTCTTTTCCCAGCACCTTCAATTTGACCGAAT